TGTGGGAGGTGCTGCGGGAGTATGGGGTGAGGGGGTCTCTACTCAGGGCCATCCAATCTCTGTACTCCCAAAGCGAGAGCTGTGTCCGGGTCCTCGGCAGTAAGTCGGACCCATTTCCGGTGAGGGTTGGCCTCCGCCAGGGCTGCGCTTTGTCACCAATCCTGTTTGTAATATACATGGATCGGATTTCGAGGCGTAGTCATGGGGGAGGGGGTCTGCAGTTCGGTGGACGAAGGATTGCACCACTGCTTTTTGCAGATGATGTGGTTCTAATGGCTTCATCGGTCTGCGACCTTCAGCACTCACTGGATCGGTTCGCAACCGAGAGTGAAGCGGCTGGGATGAGGATCAGCACCTCCAAATCTGAGGCCATGACTCTCAGCAGGAAACCGATGGACTGTCCACTCCAAGTAGGGAATGAGTCCTTACCCCAAGTGAAGGAGTTCAAGTATCTCGGGGTCTTGTTCTCGAGTGAGGCAACAATGGAGCGTGAGATGGGCCGGAGAATCGGAGCAGCGGGAGCGGTACTGCAGTCGCTTTACTGCACCGTTGTGACGAAAAGGGAGCTGAGCCAGAAGGCAAAGCTCTCTGTCTACCGGGCCATTTTCGTTCCTACCCTCACCTATGGTCATGAAGGATGGGTCATGACCGAAAGAACGAGATCGCGGATACAAGCGGCCGAGATGGGTTTTCTCCGCAGGGTGGCTGGTGTCTCCCTTAGGGATAAGGTGAGAAGTTCGGTCATCAGGGAGGGACTCGGAGTTGAGCCGCTCCTCCTTCGCGTCGAAAGGAGCCAGTTGAGGTGGTTCGGGCACCTAGTTAGGATGCCACCTGGGCGCCTCCCTAGGGAGGTGTTCCAGGCACGTCCAGCTGGGAAGAGTCCAAGGGGTAGATCAAGGGGCTCTCTGCTGGAACTGCTACCCCCGCGACCCGACCACGGATAAGCGGGAGAAGATGGATATATATATATATATATATATATATATATATATATATATATATATTAGGGCTGTCAGTCGATTAAAATATTTAATCGCGATTAATCGCATGATTGTCCATAGTTAATCGCAAATTAATCGCACATTTTTGATCTGTTTTAAATGTACCTTAGAGGAATAGTTTTCAAGTTTGTAATACTCTTATCAACATATGAGTGGACAAATATGCTTTATGCTAATGTTTATTATCATTTGAACAATGACAAATATTCTCATGAATATTAAACACAACAACTTCTGAACATTACAAATATTCGCCTCAATTCAACCTGGAACCTAATACAATAAAAATGGTGTGTGTGTGTGTGTGTGTGTGTGTGTGTGTGTGTGTGTGTGTGTGTGTGTGTGTGTGTGTGTGTGTGTGTGTGTGTGTGTGTGTGTGTGTGTGTGTGTGTGTGTGTGTGTGTGTGTGTGTGTGTGTGTGTGTGTGTGTGTGTGTGTGTGTGTGTGTGTGTGTGTGTGTGTGTGTGTGTGTGTGATGGATCGTTGGAGCTATGTACAACTCGAGGCATATGCTCGAACGGGAGCTGCCTGGACGTTGCAATCATGTTGCGCACTATCCGTGCTGAGTGTGCTGACTTTTCGTACAATGTCCCACTGTCTGGCTGCCTGCATAAAGTCAAGTGCTCGGCGCAGTTGTCGGCGAAATGTCGCTCCTCTGTTTTCATTTCAACAGCTCCTTATATCCGTTAGCGCAGCTAGCTAGCACCAGATGCTAACAACAAGAATGCACGTAATGTCTCTCTCTCGCTCGAGCCACACATACACACATCCTCCCGGTCCTCCCAATAGCCAGTCGGTGCCTGCCGGTGAGCGTGGAAGTGTGGTCTGCTACAAGCGGGCGGCAGGAGCGGGGCTGTCAGCATCAGCTTGCAGATGGTATTTTAAACTCGATGCGCTCTGAAACTACGGGGCGGCCGAGGACAAAAAATACACATGCGTTAATCGCGTTAAAATAATTAGTGGCGTTAATTTTTTTTTGCGTTAACTTGACAGCCCTAATATATATATGTGTATATATATATGTGTGTGTGTATATATATATATATATATATATATATGTGGATGAGGATGAGGTGTAAAATAGTAATAAAATGAAACTATTGAGCACAGAATTAAGATGAGTTTATAAAAACCCTTTACATGTGAACAGCTTTTACTGTAGATAGAAATGGATGATCCCATGTTGTAGAGCATCTATATGGCATCCTATATGGTAGGCTATATTGGATGTTGGAATTTGATGCAGGCAACTTGGTGATATGGACTTTAAAAGTATAGTTTCGGATTGGTGGACTTCAGGAATAATAACGTTACTCGCGATCTCAATAGAAGGGTCAAATACATGCATTTCCCAGCCAACACGGGAGCCTTGACATCTACAGTGAAACTTCTTATGCAAGTTTATCCTCAAATGTAAGTAGCTGTGTTTTAACTGTGGTAAACTTGGGTTTATCAACGTTAGTTAGTAAGCAGTGCAATCTTGCTAACTAGCTAGCAACTTGAGTTTGAGTTTGTTTTGAATTTGGATTTGTTAATGATGGTTAGCAAGCACATGGAGTGCAATCTTGCTAGCCAACATTCAGTTTGCTAACTAACTAGCTAGTGTTGGCTAGCTTGCATTGCTAGCTAACAGGGCTCTCAAGTTTTGAACAGAGTTCAGAGTAAGACTTTGGCAGCGGCCCAATGTCATTTGGTGCCAAATATTTCTTACCTTGCACTTGATTGAGGACATACTCCCCCAAAACTCCTCAACATTAAAGGTGGTGGGATATTGGGGCATGCTGATATCCATCAGCTGATATTCCAGGAACTCCTCACACACCTTGTCCTGTTCCTCCGGCCCATGCAAAGGTAGTAGTTCCTGAAATCTAAAAAGAGCACCATGTGTAAAAAACTGATTAATGTATTCAATCAAAATATTGAAATCCTGGAAAATGTGGAAACCCTTACCTGTCTATAAAGTATAGGGCATCTTCCACCCCACACTCAGTCCTCTGCTGCACATCCACAAATCTTGTATGCCTCAGAAGAGCCTCCTTCAGAGGGAGTTTATTGATGCCATACTCCACAGCCCTGACCATAAATGCCAGTGCTGCCTGTTGGAATAGCTGCACCTCCTGAGGTGTGATGTCTCCAGCCTCAAGGAGCCTATTGAGGGTAGCTCTGGTGGTGAAGCCAACATTTAGTTTTTCTCCTACCAGACAGAGAACAGAAAGAGATAGAGAAGCAAATTAAGTCCAGGTAGTTTCAACAATATGAATCAGGTAGAGACAGGGATTTCACTTGGCAATTTAACTCAAAACTAGACAAACAGTCAGTGTATAGATTCAGTCTGTCTAGTTTTGAGCACTATGTGCACAATAAGTGCAAGTGGTTGAAGGTATTCCTCTATGTAAGCATACAATTTTACCCATAAACTACACACGCATGGTATGCCTACACACATTTATGCTTTTTAACAGCCATAACAGAGATATCACCCAACTCGCCCAATAACAACAATCTTCCCAAAAAGTATATTTGAGGTCAATGAGAATACAGGTGTATCTCCTTATATGAAACTTTTACCTGGCAGTTGGTTTAGTGGGTCCTTGTAGAGGATGTCATGGACTTGTCGGCCCTGTAGTGCTGACGGCTTCATGAACCTCGCACACAGTTTCTTGATGAACTTTGTTATCTGCAAATTTGTAGTTCATAAAACATTTCCATGTATTACTTGAAAAAGGACATATCAGCCAATTCAAGCAGACATACTGTATTTGGCAGCAGGATGGCCTAACCCTTGCATTTTACCTCTCCGTGGAGCTGAACTGTACTGTACCCAATATACAAGCTGTTAATAAACTTTTCAATCAATCAATCAAAGATGGAAGACCTTTCTCTCTGGAGGAGGAGGTTCAGTAGGGTGAACACTGGCAGCGTCGCTTGATAGAAGAGTAGGTAGACTTCAGTCAGGGGGTTGGAAAATGCATCCACCAGCCTTCTAAATCTTGGTTGTTTCTCATCTGTAAATAAACACAGTCAGTGCTTAAAAGTACACATTTAGTCTGGTGTAATGCACCTGTATTACTGTCAATGAAACAAACAACATACTTAAAGACTTAAAATAGCTGGTAAGTGGCCCATACTGTCGCAGAATTTGTGTGATGCACCTCTCCAGGCTTAACCATCGCACTGAAATGTGCAGCAGCATTTCCATGTACTCGCTCTCATGGAATTCACAAAATTCTGGAAAATATAAAACATAACATCAACAGTAAACAAATTAAAAATGTCTGCATTTTGTTCTATAAAGAGCTGGTTGAATCACAAACCTGCCAGGTAACCTTTACGGTTGGTGCTTCCTTTAAACCAGTACCCAACATCCACGGTCAGATCCTCTGGATCAAATCCGGATATCTGCAATACATGAATTCAAGTATCTATTGCAACACTATCAGCAAACTGTTTTACATGGCATTGGGCTTAACGGATTGGTAATATAGAGTGTACATGTTTGAACTTACTTCCATAAACTTCTGCCCCGCATGTTTGGCAGTGTTGTGGATGATATGACAGGGGCATCCATGGATGTAAATACTGCCATTTTCCTTCAACATTCTGGCTGAGATTGAATTTCTGGCAGCTGTATTTACAGGGGCATTGTCAATAGAGAGACCTACACAATTTCTCCAAGGGATGTCATTTTCCTGCAAGGTGTCATTGATTTTTGTGTAGATCACTTCAGCGGTGCCACAGCTCCGCCCACTGGTGGTGCACATATCAAGGAACCTGTGCACAACTTTGTTGGTTTAAAAAATTCTGACAGTGAGAGGATTCATCTTCTCTAGACCTGTAACAATAAGGACCATAACTAAAACAATATGTTGTTCAAATTGTATGAGTGCATGTAGAAATGGATAAAAAATAGTAAATAATTACTGATAGAAGTTGTTAAGCACATACCAGTATCATTCGAGCCATCTGTGACAAGTGTGAAGGGATTCTCTCTCATCTTCATCACCAGTTCCTTCTTAAAATGAGGTGCCACTGCTTGAGGCACGTTGTTTTTGTGCTTGCGCTCTTAAAGCCCTGAGCTGTAGGGGAGTCTCTAAAACATTCTTTGTACAAGGGGCTGAAATGGTCAGCAACGGCAAAGGGAACATTGTGCTGCACCATTGCAACAGCAACCTTCACCTCAGCCCTCCTGGTCTGCAACAGAAACAACTGATTACATACCTCATAACCTTAAATACGTTTTCAAGGTAATATGACCATCAATTTGAAGAGGAATGTAATTCATCAAACATTGCCGCCAGCTTTTTAGTTTTCCTGTGCTACACTGTACTGTATGTACCTTGGCCTCTTGTACACTCATGCCTCCAACAGAAGTTTCTGGCACGTAGAACTGTGCAATACTGCTGACTGAGTTTAGAGACTGTTCTTTGGCCCGATGTCCCTTGCCTTCCACATGCCTGCTTATGTCCCTCCCGCCTTGATGAGCACAGGAGCTCTCTTGTCTGCACACTGAGCACCAGTAGAAGGAGCTGGTGGTTCCCATTGTGATGAATGGCCATCGAGTTGACCACTCCTTCTTAAAGGAACACCTATATGTGGCTGCTCCACATAATCCTCTCCTTTTCTCTGTTTCCAATGGGTTCTCCCCAGTCTCCTCCACTGCCTCCTCTACCTCCTCCACAGTCTCCTCTACTGCCTCCTCTACAGTGTCCTCTGACCTGGCCACCTTTTTAGGGAGCTGATTGTTTTGAAAGCATGAAAGAATGCTTAGTTGCCTCTTTCCTGACATCTTTGAAAGACAAATGCAATAATTATTAATATGCTTTGTTTTCTGATGAAATATACACACACTCACGCCAGGGATGGAAATGAACACCAACCATCAGCCAAATGCTGGTAAAACATAACAGTGGCTGGTAGATTTTAAATACATACAAATGTACCATTGGTTTACTACTGAATGGCTGGTAGATTTTCCCCAGTGGCTGGTAAATGTTCATGTGTTGTGTAAATATTCAAATGTTTTGAAAAATTAATTTCCAGCCCTGGCGCACGCGCACACACCGGGAAAATAGGAGACACAGGGACAGTCCAACAAGGGAGCAAATAGCCTTGGTGCTTACTACAATAACAATAACAAGAATGATAATAATAAATAACAATAATAATCATTATAATAAGTTAGTGTAGGCGCAAAATTCCGAAGAAAACAAGCGTCAGAATAGCTGCTGAAATTAGCTAGCAGGGATTCAACCGGCTAGCTAGGCTAGTTCATGCATACTCTAGTCTAGTCAGTCAAACTGTTAGCTAAAAGCTCCCTGGACATATATTCCATAACAACGGAAATCAATGATGAGATGACTTACTGTACTGAAAATATGGTCTTCTCCCACGTCGAGCAGTCTGTAGCCATGCAAAATGTCAGTGAGTGACTATGTGACAGCCGTCCTCTTTGGTTACTCTTCAGCGAGCGTCTTAATAATTGGAATGGAATCAGAATGTAATGTTGTAGCGGAATGTCTAAATCCTACCCGGATACAGCCATGTTATTTTCTAATTGGCTGTTCGACAGCTTACATTCTTTTTGATTGGTTGATGCGTGGCTACAGTGATTCTGTACTAGTTTGTTTACAAAATTGCGGCGCAACTTGGTGGGCGGTACCAGACCCGGCGGCAGACATACGTCTCTGGGCGGGCATTTGATTCACCAGGGCGGGCCCACCCCGAAACGTACATATCCCGGGAAATCTGAATTGTCAACGGGGGCTGTTAGACGCTTCCCAACTTGGGAAAGCACGCAGGCAAACCTGAGGAGCGCACACAGGGTGGAGAGGTGGAGTGAGGTTGAGTCATGGAGAGAGAGAGCGATATTGAGCGAGGCAGAGAGCGTGTACAGCGGTCTGCTTGCGCACAGAGCCGGAGTTTATGAGAGAGCCGGCTTGAGAGTCAATTTCTCTTCAAAATATAATTGATTGCCAGCCTCCCTTGTCCCTGGCTGGCTTGCTAGCTCGTTGGTAACGTAACTGATGTCTTATAATGTGCCTGCATCTGGCGCTGAGTTGCCATATTCCTTTCATGAACCACTTCCTGATATCCATTGTTGCAGATAAATATAAATGATCATAGCCAAACTAACCTAGCAAGAGTAAACTGACAGGCTGCTGTGCCGCACCTCACTCAAAAACCCACACGACTCAACCCAGCGAAAAACCAGTCTCGCGCGCAGCCTTTCATTCAGAATTTCATAGCAAAATAAAAAAATGATATTAAACTAATCTTTCAACATAGTTTAAAACAAAAATAAATATTAGGACAAAGCCCTACAAATAACAATAAATATAATAATAAAACAATTAAAATGTTGTATTCAGCCCTGATTAAAACAGCGGGCCCAAATCCTGGATGGGCGGGCCCGCCCATGACGCCGGGTCTGGGCGGTACCCTGGAAATAAATCTCTGCGTGAGAAATACAAGGTGTGGCGTGCATACTTGCCAACCCTCCCGATATTCGCAGGAGACTCCCGATTTCATTGCCCTCTCCCGGGGTCATATTTCTCCCGCATTTCTCCCGATTTCTGACAAAATCAGATTTACTCAGGACTGTTTCCACTCGGACTTTAATACAGCTACACCATTGTTTGGTTTCCATGGTAGCGTGTCTCTTTAGTAGCGTGCGCAACTGAAAGTCTAAGAGGGTGAGGCAGATAGTCACATAAAACAGAACAAGAATCGACAACTCTACCCTCTGCTCACTCCTGTCCTGTAAAATACAGGTCCAGCCCACCACACATATATGCTCCATCAAGGATGGTGCTACAGGCCGCAAGGCAGTGCACTTACAACTACAATAAGCATGTTAATGTTAATCTAATACAGCTCCGGCGATCCACTACCACCCCCCCCCCCCCCCCCACCCCCCGTGGTGGTTTTGAAATGCTCCCGATTTCTGAGGTCTCAAGGTTGGCAAGTATGGTGGCGTGTGAGCGTGTGATAGGAGTGAATATATTTATTTTTTCAAGTCTCACGCCAAATGCGTGAGACTTGAGAGGTCTGAGCTAACTACCAATAAATTTTCACATTAGGCTGTGACATTACTTCTATACTAGTTGACATGAATAGTCTAGTCTTGATAAATGTTGTAACATTCATTCTTATATCTACTTTTAGCTATTTTGTGATTTTTCTTAAAACAAATTATACTACTAAATAGGAACATTTGGGGTGAGACATTTTTGAAAAATCATTGATCATGCCTAGACTGATTCTATACATCTATACTGTTAAGCTAAGCTTACTAGTGGGGTTGCTGTACTGAGGAACCACAGGGGAACCAGCCTTATGTTTTCCCTTTTAGGTTCATTAGTTTGATTTACAAAAGATTTTACAGAGTAAGAGTAGGCATACTACCCCTTCTACGCAAGACTCATCATCTCAAATGTGTGATGCATTACAGGAGTGAGTGACAATGACACGTGGCAGATTCAAGTCACATTGGAAAGATGACTCTCAATACAAGGACTGGATTGGAGAGGTACCAGGAGATGTCCACAAGGCTTATTGCAAGTTTTGCCGCAAGTCATTTAACATCAGCAATATGGGGGTCGCTTCCCTCAAGAGCCATTCAAAAGGACAAACCCACACCAAGTTAGCTGGACAGCTAAATAATGAAAGAAGAATGACAGATTTCTTGACTACAAAAACAGGAGAGGGAAGAAGCGGCCCAACAAGCCAGGATATCGAAAGTGACAGTCAGGTGCCCAGTACCAGCAGTGAACAGCCTACGGAAAAAGGCTCTGGAGCTCAGGGGAAAACGTTTTTTTCAAGCCAAGCTGTATTTGAAGCAGAGATTCGCTGGGTCATGAAGATGGTCAGGTCACACTTCTCGTTCAACTCCAACTCTGACATTTCAAACACTTTTGCTCAGATGTTCCCAGACAGCAAAATTGCCAAACAATTTACATGTGGCGCAACAAAATCGGCTTACCTTATATGTTTTGGCTTGTGTCCTCATTTTAAAGAGCAGCTGATCGAAGACGTACGAAAAGCAAAGTGTCATGTAGTGTCTTTTGATGAATGCCTTAACAAAGTGACACAAACAGAACAGATGGATATCATTCTGCGCTACTGGAGTGAAGGGAAAGTAGCTGTGCGTTACTTCACTTCAGAGTTCCTAGGACACACTCAGGCAGAGAAGCTCTTGGAGAGTATCAACAGATCCCTGTCACCTCTGGACCCCAAGAAGCTCCTGCAAATATCGATGGACGGCCCTACAGTGAATTGGAAGTTCTTAAGAATATTCCAAGAGGACAAGAGCAAAGAGGACCCAGATGCACCAAAGCTCATCAACCTGAGAAGTTGTGGTCTGCATGTTGTGCATGGAAGTTTCCAGACCGGAGAGAGGGAAACAGGTTGGAAAATCGGAGATGCGCTGAGAGCGCTTTGGCAGGTGTTTCATGACTCGCCAGCAAGGCGAGAGGATTTCAGTGAGCTGACTAAAACGGCAAGATTTCCTCTGAAGTTCTGTGCCACTCGATGGGTTGAAGACTTGCAAGTTGCTGAGCGGGCAATCGAAGTGTGGCCAGCTGTGATGGCGTACATCCACAGCCACAAGAAACTTCCGAAGCACCAATATATCTGTGTACAATGTTTGATTGTTTGGGAAGGAATAGTTTGTGTGAAATCTTCCTTGGGAAACTAAAGGAGTGAAGTTAGGTGGAAGATAATGATTGACTCTGCCTTTGTCTACTCACGCTCTGTTCAGAAGTAATGTACCAATATATCTGTGTACAATGTTTGGTTGTCTGGGAAAGAATAGAGTTTGTGTGAAATCTTCCTTGGGAAATTAAAGGAGTGAACTCAGGTGCAAGAAGGAAGTGAAGTGACTCTCCGCCCCAAATATGTCCATATATACTGTTGTTTACCCATGCAAAATGCCCCCTGTTTCTGACTGGCTGGTCCCGATATCTGTATCGCACGGCAGTAGAGCGGGGAGCCCGGAGTGCTCTGTTACAGGGCACTCTGTATTTCGTATTGTGTTTTTTTACCATTAAAATCAGATTATTGTTATAACTTTTATGCCGGTGTTTTGAACTTCTTTTATTAAATCTGACCAGGCTCATCTAAAGGACGGCGCGGAGCAGAGGTGGGCTTTAAGCCACCACTATTGTGTTTGCTTCTACAATACGTACACCGGTTAATTCGATCGTTGGGCAGATACATCCAGATCATATTATAATGGCCAAAGTCATCAAAGTGAGCGATAACAGTTGCATTAGGCTACATAAAACTAAAAGTAGCTGGAGAGCAGCGGCAGCTAAGTGCGCCAGCGTTCGCTCTCTGCGTCTCCGAACGTTGACCTGATGACAGGTACTTTTACTTTACCTGAGTTTTCTACTCGAAGCAGGCCCCCCCAATAAAGCATAGTGATGAAGTCATTTAGTCTTGTATAGTAGATTTTTCCCAGTATTTTAGAAAACTGTGAGAGCAATGAAATTGGTCTATAGTTTGACAGTACATGTTTATCTCCAGATGTATGTATTGGTATGACTTTAGCAGTTTTCATTTTATTTGGAAATACACCGGTTTGTATTGACTGATTACAGATGTGAGTTAGTGGTTTGGCTATACATTCTATAATGCAGTGGCGAGCCGTCAGGGCCCTCTAGGCCCTCTGTGAGGGCCTAAGATATTCTAAAAAATAATATTTGAAAACATTAATAAAAAACATTTTTTTTAAAATAATTTTTTATATTTTTCATTAGTTTTACCAAAATAACTTGATTTAATTGTATTTAAAATTATATTTCCAAATAAATAAATCCTTCGAATCTGCCTGTTCAGTTTCTGTTTGAATGTGAAGGGTTAAATGCCGTCTCTGCGAATTATGTGAAGACGGGAGGGCTTGTTGGTCCCTCTCAGATTCACAGAGGGCTCGCTACAGTAACTCAATGAGAGAGTAATGTCAACTGACAGTACAATTGACCAATCATATCTTCCCTCTAAATGGGCGGGCTTTATTTTCGCGGACTTTATGACAAGTTCCGCCCGCTGTGAGGTCTATGCAAGTGGTGCAGTGACGCGTCCTATAACCCGAAAGTAAGCTTCGCTTGGATTCCCTCGACAGAAAGCAACGGGATTTCTCCATAGGATTTTGGAAAATAGCTCGAAATAAGGTCTGTGGAAAACGAACCTGTTAGATAAATGCACGTTGTGTTCAGCCGGATAATATCCACATGTCTATCCTACTTTTATTATTTTTGAATCATAAATCTAATCGATAGATTTATGATCGATAGATTTATGATTAGCATAAGTTGGTTCATGATGGCTCATTTCAGTGATATTGATGACATCGTTGCGAAATTATTAACCGAGTCATTTTCAAGATTGAGTTACAATGATAAACTGGAGTGGCAAAGGATCAGCTGAATGACCCGCCATCAAGTGCTTCATCCAAAAGGACAGGAGGATGGACTTTGTGTTTAAGTGATTTGATCATCAAAGGTAGGCCTAAGTCATTTTCAATGCGGGCCGCCGTGCCGACTTAATTCATTTGTAATTGTTACTTGGCTGTGGGTGCCCTGTCATGATAGGTGTTTATATAAATGGTGTTGTTTTGTGTGGTAGAGGGTCGCTGTCATTGATGCGTTTTGCACCCCGGGCCGCTGTTTTGATATTCGGCTGAAGTCTACGTTGAGACATATCTCTTCTTTTTTTTTCGAGGGAAGGGGGGTCAGAGGGCCTAGGTATACAAGTCACGGCTCGCCACTGCTATAATGTTTTTAACTGTATACATGTCAATATCATGACAGTCTGTAGACCTTTTACTCTTAAGTTTTTTAACTGTGTCAATAATTTCATTTTCATCGATCCCTCTTAAGAATATAGTTTCCTTCACATACTGTATATATCTTTACTTTCAACACTATCACTACAACTAGTATTTGTAATTTCCCCAGCTAGACAAGGACCAACATTGACAAAGTACTTATTGAAATCTTCGGCAACTGAGGTCATGTCATAAATTACTGTATCGTTTTTTGACAGAAAACTGTTTGGGTATTGTGCCTTTCCATTTCCTTTTTTAATAATGGTATTTAATACATTCCATGTGTTTTTAATGTTATTTTTGTTATCCTCCAATAATTTGTTGTAATGATCCATTTTGCTACATCGTATTATCTTTGTTAGTTTGTTTTTGTATGTCTTGTATTTTTGTTCAGCCTCTACTGATCCATTCTTTAAGAAGTCTTTATATAATTCATTTTTCGTTTTACATGCATTTAATATTCCCTTAGTGATCCATGGTTTTTCAGCATATTTTTGTTTCACTATTTTCTTTACACGAGGACAATGTTTTTCATACAGCCCTGATAGAATATGTAGAAATGATTCATAGGCTTCATTTGCATCTGGTACATACACTTTGTTCCAGTCTTGTTTAGATAATTCTTCTTTAAAAGAATGAACAGACTCTGGTGTTTTGTGTCTTGTAATTGTGACTTTTCTGGTGTCTTTTTTGATCCTAGTACAGTTCTGTATTGTTGCAAAGACTGGCAGGTGATCACTTGTGTCATTGATTAATATTCCACTTATTACTTTCCTATCCATAACATTTGTGAATATGTTGTCAATGAGTGTAGCACTGTGTGATGTTAATCTGGTTGGTCGTGTGATTGTAGGATATAAACTGTTGCTATACATAGAATTAATAAATTCTGTAGTTGCATTGTGTTCTTGTGGGTTCAGCAAATCAATGTTAAAATCTCCACATACAAAGAGCATTTTCTTGCTGCTTGTGTAGTTATAAAGTTCAGCTAGCTTTTTCTCAAATGTGTCAATACATGATCCTGGTTTTCTATACACGCAGCTTATCAGAAGGTTTTTAGATGTTTTCATTTCAATTTCTACTGTTATGCATTCCATAATGTTGTCTACAGCAAAAGACATATTACTGACAGATCTACTTTTGTAACTTTTGTTAATATAAAGTGCAGTCTCCCCACCTTTAGAATGTGTCCTGTTAGTAAAAAACATGTTGTATCCCTCGATTTCAACCATGTCAGCTTGCTCCTCACTAAGCCAGGTCTCTGATATTGCTAGGGCTGTAACTTGTTTCTCCAGTTGCCTTAAACAGTGTTTGATTTTTGATACATTTGAAATGAGGCTTCTGCTATTAAAATGTAATATTGATATTGATCCATCCATCATTTCATTTATTTTGAGTTGATCTTCTGTGTAGTATTCACATTGGTTATGGATGTTATTGTAGAAATTATTTTCAGGGTCAAAATCCTTTTCAATGTCTTGTGATCTATGTTCCGTGTATTTGAAACATTTCAAGTCCAGTTTTTCATATTCAACAGGTGAGTGGTTTTTGTCCAAGCTTATCATGGGTGTTCTTAGTGTGTTCATTTCAGTGTGTAGCTATTCAGTTAGGCCTACCTTATGTTGATTTTGATGTTTCATTCCTCAAACTGATCCAGCTCGGTGATTTCCCGGATAATGAGCACTTTCGCCATCTCTGCTGTTGATCCATTTAGTTTGATAATATTTTTACAATTTGTCGACCATGTTGCTTGAATCTTGTTTTGTTTCCTTAGTATACGTGCTCTCCTTGCGATGTCCGCGTTCTTCTTCGTAAGGTGTTCGTTAATGTAAACATTGGTCCCTTTTAGTTTCCTTCCTTGTCTGAGGAGTGCATATTTTTTCCTGTTGATGAACCGGATTATTACTGCTGGTTTGGCTGTTGTGTTCTTGCTCCGCAGGGCATGACAGGCCTCAATATCTCCGCTGTCAACAGATATGCCCTTGCTGTCCAAAAAGCAAAGCACCTGTTGCTCCAGCGACTCACGGTCCACCTCCGGAGCGTCGGCTCCCCCTCTCCCGGCAGCGGTGTCCTCTGAGGCCGCTGCCGCCCTGGCACAGCTCCGGTGTTTGGTCTTCAGGCCGCTGATAATCAGATCGTTCATCCTGGTGTATTGTTCGAGATCGGCCACTCGATTCTCCAGAAAAGTGATCTTTTTGTCCTTTTACATCTCCCAACACCCATATGAAACAGACCTGTAAGCAGATTTCTCTTTTTCTTTATGGATATTTTACAAATCACTCCCCTTTTAAACTGTATTCTTGTTATTTTTAAAAACGGTTTTGTTACTGTCAAAGTATTATATACCTGTTTTTCATTTAGATGTCTCTTTTTTTTTAATATAACTATAATGATCATATCAAGATGTGCCTTAACCTCACTGAGCTGAGGTTATTTGAGCCTCTCAGTCTGTCAGGAGAGAGCAATCTTCCACCTGGTTGGAGAAAAAGCTCTTTATATTCGTTAGCATAGCTAGCTAACCAGATGGGCTTACAACTAAAGACACAGCCACGCAAAAACTGCGGCATGTATAAGGCATCCTTATGGGTACTGCAATATTTGAAGTGCTTGAGCGGCGTTCTGTTGTCTGTCAGTCTGTGGGTCGGACCCCCCACGCCCCCAAAATGAAAACTCTTCGGTTCACCACGAATTACACAAGTCACCCAAATCGGCGTTAAAAAAAGTGGGAGGAGCCGAAAAGTGACTTATTTGCATGCATGTTATATGGAGCGCAGAGCAAAGGTTTGGCGAGCGTATGAAAAATGAAGATGCAGGTTTGAGACACGGAAAGAGAGGCAAACTGGGTCTCAAGACGCCTTACTATTGGACGCGCAATGTGACGGTCCGAGCGCTGCGCTCAAGTAAAAACTTGTACAACCTTAGCGCAGCACTGACCAGCTCTAGCACCGGCAAAAACAGACAATGAATGAATTAGAACCTGCGTGTCCTATGTGAAAGTTCCTTTAGTGTTAAAGTGTTACATTTCTATTAAAGCCTGTTTTTAATTTTGAATGCAAAAAACAATGCTGTGTTTTGAATATCGGGGCCTTAACACCAGGTACCTCCTACTAAAAAATCCCAGCGTCCGTTGAGCAAAAATGGCTGCAGAACCCAGGGTGAGGATGCTCGGAGTACATAGCACGGATGACACCTCTTTTCCCTTCTCCTACGTATCCTGCACAAGAATATTTAGCTACGGATAAACGGCAGACTACTGTGACTACAGCAGCTGGCCATGGAGTGCAACTGTTGCATTAAATGGCGGCAACCACCACACAACTAAATTACAATTATAAATATGTTAATTTAGAGTTTCTCTTTAACTGTGATACTCACATTGAGCACTAGATAATTGTCTGTTTGGAAGCTGCTTTAATACATTAATGTGAGTCAAAAGTCAATTTTACACATATATTCCTGCTTACTTGATGTAGTGGGACATCCTGGTATTTTTAGTTGAAAGTGCAATATCAAAATTGCAAGAAGCTGCAATTATTATTTTTCAGCTAAATTTGAGAATACAAAATGATAATACATTTTCTTTTTCTTCAGTAAAATCTGGACTTACAGGTGGAAGCCATCTATAGTTTAGGTTACTTTGAAAAAAACAAATGGTGACAGCACTTAATTGTCGAAAGCTAACTGTGAGTGACGTGCACTGATACATTTGAGGAAATATAATCTATCTAACAATGTATGTAAGCACTGAAAGCATCTGAAGCAGAAATACAGAACTTCTTTATCTATATCATTGTATGCCAACCAGAACAATCTTTGAATTGCGTTCTGCAAAACTGACAAGACGAAATGCAAAACATGGTGGACATTTCCTCACGGTAGGACTCGGAATGCTCAAACCAATTCTTGTCCACACCTGTAATAAGAAAGTACAAAACAATAAGGCTAAGGTTTAATTTGGCAAGCTTCTTTAAATTGAATTTGTAAAATACAATATTTCTTACTCCAATATCCACAAAAAGTGTGCCTTTTTCCGAAAAGTGTCCAAGCTTACGGAATGTTTTACTTTCCAATAACCAGAGAAAGCGTCAAATATGCCATCTCTCCGGCGTCAAGAACGGTGACTTTATTTTGAAATTCAGTTCCTGACGGATGTCAAAAAAGCCAGATATTATAGAATTAAACAAATAAAAACAATTATAATTGTGTGTTATTGTTGAGTAAATAACAGTATGTTATTTAGAAAAGAATAACAAATTAGAAGGAAAAAAAGATTTAAAAAATACAGATTTCAGTATTCTGAGCCAACCCAGTCTTAAGGCATTTCGTGTTCACCAACACGATTTTTAATCTATTGATTCGTGTTCACCAACACGATTTGCCCCTTTTTTTCGTGTTGCACAGCACGATTTTAAAAGCAATGTATTTCTACTGCCTGCAGCACGTCTTTTTCTCCGGTCGGGTCGAGGAAGACCGGAAGCTGTGTGGTTCATAAAAACATGTTCTTACTCAATATCAAGCCACAGTTATTGCTTTTATTTGAAATCGTATAATTTCGGACTTTTGTTGCAGTCTGTGAGGAAAATAAATGGGGCTCAGAGCCTCAGGATACTGAAATCTGTATTTTTTAAATCTTTTTTTCCTTCTAATTTGTTATTCTTTTCAAAATAACACACTGTTATTTACTCACCAATAACACACAATTATCCTTGCTTTTATTTATTGGTTTAATTCCATAATCTCTGGCTTTTTTGGCGTCTGTCAGGAACTGAATTTCAAAATAAAAATAACCGGAAACAGACGTAGGCATTTCGAGCGATTACCCAAGATCCTCAGCTATGGTTTTAAACTCGCTTATTGGATGTTTTAGCCGCAATGCATGCTGGGATTTGGTGTTTATATGATATGAAATCCGGAAAACATTTTAAAAGAATAAAATAATACTTAATTCCGAGCGCTCTTGCTTTTCTCTTTGAAAGTCATCACATAACGGCATTGTAATACACGGTTCGGCTGCATTGTATATTACAGATCTGCCCTAGTTCTTTATTTATAGAGCCCTGATGAGAAGACCTTTGGAAAAACTGAGAAAATGCCGCCGAAAACTGAATACTTGACGTGGATCATAAATATATTCAACAATTAAACAACATCTTCAATTTATCTTCACACAATACGTCTCCTTGCAGTATCAACACTAATTCGGCTGACTTTTACATTTGATCTAATTCACAGATAGGTTATATTTACACCATAACGGTGCACAGCTGATATAAAAGGACTGTAGTTTTTAAAGATATCACTGATTTTCTTTGAATGTAAGAATGTAAATACTGAGTCTGAAATAGTATGGCAATATGCTGTAAAATTATGTGAAAGCATGCATAAAACTACACATCTTCAGATGTTGTACGAAAACATAAGTGTCCTACACTAATAATACAAAGTTATTATGGCTGTGTGTACCTTGTGTGCACCTCCTAGTGGTTAAAGCACGTTATTGAATTATTGTGTTTTATTTGATTACAAAAATATTAAGAGTACATACTTTCATAGGGGGAAAGTATAAATATAGAATATAAAAAATCAAGAAGATACTATAAGTGATCTCTACAATAAAACAGTTTAGTGCAGAATGTACAAAGATATTAATAGGAGGAGGTGCAAAACAGAAAAACGAATTAACCTTTATTTAAACATTAAATAACAGATTAAGGTCTTCTTTTAAATAAGAAAAACACTTTGGGGGTATCTATCTACAGATAAATATTAAGCCTGACAAAGTACTTAACGTCTAATATATTGCTTTCCTGCAATGTTAACTATGTTGAAGCACTTATTTTAACTGATATTATACATATGAATTATACTCTTATGTATGTAGATAGAATAAGAAATAAGAAATGTGAATAAGAAATAAGAATAAGAATAAGAAATGTGCAGAATATGACAGTTTAATGGTGGAGGTACACACATATTGATAGATGTCTTGTAATGCACTGTTGAGGAACCTGTGACCCAAGTGTTTCATTCATTGCATAACTACACCGTAGTTGTGTATATGATATGTCAATACACCTTTGAAAATCTTGAAAGGGATGTGCAAAATAGCCATAATATACAGTCTTTAATTAACTATTAGTAGAGAATAATGAGTAATGAATATACTTTATTACTCGTTTCCATTCATGTCAATTGCAGATACATGTTTAGTCTTCTCAAGCACCAACTATCAAATATCTCTCCTGATTGTTGGCACTTGACAATCACCTTACCTGAATTTTACTCAGGTGTAACTAAAGTCTGATTTAAGGGTTGTTTATATTTCACATAATTAATCAGAATCTGCAAAGTAACTCAAATAAATGAAGTGGAGTAAAAATACCAGGTTAACCTCTGAATTGTAGTGGAGTAGAATTACAAAGTAACAATGAGCTGTCATGTGGGTATTAATGCTGCGCATTATGGACACAAGCGATTTTCACCCATTTATTAATTATATGTTTTACATTTGATAACACCAATGTGTTTAATACTGGAAACTTGTAATTGTGGGAAAAACGAAAACGTTCAGTAGAGACGTCCCATAGAACATTTTACGAAACACAATAGCCAGCGTGTAGTTCTGGGGGGGCGTTCGATTTCAGTTTTGGATAGTCTGGCGTGGTTTCGTTCCATTTCACACAGCTGTTTGACGCTCTGCGTAACCTTACGGGGACTGTAGCCCTAAACGATAGCTGGGGATTATGGGTAGTGTAGTGTCTTCGGCCATCCTAAACTCAGAAATGTTGACAATCGCAATGTCTGTTTCCGGTTATTTTTATTTTGAAAATCAGTTCCTGACGGACGCCAAAAAAGCCCGAGATTATGGAATTAAACCAATAAATAAAAGCAAGGATAATTGTGTGTTATTGGTGAGTAAATAACAGTGTGTTATTTTGAAAAGAATAACAAATTAGAAGGAAACAAATATTTAAAAATACAGATTTCCGTATTCTGAGGCTCTGAGCCCCATTTATTTTCCTCACAGACGGCAACAAAAGTCAGAAATTATACGATTTAAAATAAAAGCAATAATTGTGGCTTGATATTGAGTAAGAACATGTTTTTATGAACCACACAGCTTCCGGTCTCCCACGACCCGAC